TAAGAATTATAAAACAAGAAATATTGTTATTCAAAATTTATTTAACGTTATTCTAAACCTTACAACATATGTTCCCTCCTGTTATGCGTAGGAAGACTTCATAACGAGTCTGTTGTTGATTTCTTTTTCTTCTTGATAGCGGAGATTAATTTTTTTCAACGAAATAGAACTGGAATCCAGAAATTAACCCCGACTTGTTTGAAAAATCAGTAAATTACAGTATCCTAAATAAAAACCCCAAAGATAGTTTCAAATTCGTGCAAACTGCAAACTTAGCTAAATTTTTCGAAAAAGTACGGGTTTTATTCGAGCTGCGTTGTAAAGTTGGCATTATTCCTTAAAAAAAGAAAAACCCACCTTGAATATCCATTTTTATTGGTTGTGACCTTCCTTCCTTCTCCGTCAGATGCATAAACTTGTGCACATGTATGATTTTTGCGTATGTGTAGGGATTGCGTTACAACAAATTGTTTCGGGGATTTTTTTATTATTTCACAAACCTGTCAATTCCGTTGCGTTTCTTCCCTTTGTTAAGCAAAATCATATTCATTTAAACAAAAAATCACTTCTGAGTAGATGTGTTCATCTGCATCTCCCACACGTAGTGTTTATTGGTTGTGTGTACATATGTATATGCTCGTATGTTGTATAATCGAAGAAGTCTGTTAATAGACTTATGAACGAAAGATATTTAAACGAAAACATAGAGGCACCGCTTATTTCTGATAAAAGTTATACAGACTTTCACTGCTAAAAATAACAAAAAATCATATTTAAAATTTAAAATCTGACAGTGTCCTACTTCTATTTGAATTATAATTTTTTGCAAATTCATTATGGGCTAAGAACAGGAAGATGAAAGATTCTCTAAGGCGAATGGATAAAATGCAGATTATTGTGGGTTATATTAAATGTTGAGTTGGTTTTCTTAATCAGTATCAACGCATAATCTTCTTAAAAGTCGAAGCTTATTTTAGGTCGGACGAACGATATTTTATTCACCACAGAAAATAAAAACATGCTTTTCAATGGGTGTTACATATTTACGCCAGGCCGTGCGCGTATTGGTTGTTTGAATTGAAGTATTCAGCTTAGAAAATAAAAAAAAAAAAACATAATATTACAAACATGTGGAGTTTAATTTTTCAAATATACCTTTTAAAATACTTTGTTATTTTATAAACGTTGTTACGATACACCATGTTTGAATTAAATTGAAAGCTCCCTTCATGGTAGAAGAATACAACGCTTGGGAACATTGATATGTCAAAAATTTTAAAATGTTAGTTTTTTCAAAAAAGTAGATTTTTATATGTTTTCTTATACGACACCAATGACTGTTTCTTATGATATGCATTTTCAAGAAATTTTAACGAATTTGAATAAACTTTCATTCGAGATTTTTAATTTCAAAATTGATTTGACAGTCCATAGTCCCAACAGCTGTGTCGATGCGACTACTTGTATTCTTCTACCATGGCTCACTTCAAGCATCATCGTGAACACCAGCCGGATAGACGGACCATAACGAGCGATAAAATCAACCTGATTAAAAAAAATCGCATACATACAAGGCGATCTCGTGAAACTCGCTCTGAGAGAACTGCTTTGCTCAGAAGGTAATGAAAGAATGATAGTCTATTAAAAGTGTCGAAATAAAATTACAATTCTTCAAAATCAATACATCAATTTTAATTACCCAAAGTTAAAATACTTTGATACATATTTGGAATATGGATCCTCTCTTCTTGCTATCTTTCACACAAGGGGTTTGTAATTTCAAATCATCGGAAAACTCATATATGGCAAGGGGTGTTATCGCCAGGCAATGGAATCAAAAGCATATTTCATAACAATAAAGGTTATAAACCTCACGTCTCTTTCATTTCAAATGGAGTTGTTTGGTTCAAGATCGAACTAGTTTGATTGAATGACTCAATGAAAAGAGCATATGAACTCGGTCTGTTAACTTCGTTCACTGAGCTAAGATAAATTATAGAACGGTTAGGAACCTAGTTCTACGTTTGATTCTCATTTCTCAGTTCTAAGCAATGTCGCAAGTTAACAATCTGTTGGGCATGGAAAACTATTAAGGATTGGACTGCAATCTGAACTTTGAATCTCGAACTAGTTCATTCAAAAGATTCAAAAGAAAGATCGAGCCGTGTTTCTTATTTTTCTAAGCTATTCGAATTGTACGCAGAGTAACTCTCGAAGGGAGTCACTTCTTTCCAACCATTTTTAATTTATTTTTTGTATACCGTCAGCCCTATGGCTATGGAGGATATGTATCATTTGATACCGCCAAAACGTGCACTAAATCGGTTTCAATACATTTGTAATTTACGCAGTGGAAGACTTAACTTAAACCCATATTGCGGCATAGCTCGATTTTAGGATTTTTAAAGCTGTTGTCACATTTTTTGATTGACAACATTTTTCATTGAATCGTATCGCCCACGTTTCGGTATAGGCCTGAAATAAATAAATGTCGGCTGATTTTAGATACTTTGAATTTTTCACCACATCTTCAAAGAGAATTTCTGAAATACGGTAGAAAGTAACAAAGCTAACAGAATGAAGTGCTGTGGCCGGTTACAATCCTCTTTGCAAACCCATGCATCAGAATGTTTTAATCAATATCTTCTTAATGTCACTGCTAGCTATTTGCCCTGTTGGCATTTTCATAGAATATTTCGAATTTCATTTTGCGGGTATTTTCCAAACAATATTGAATTGGGTCAAACCAAATGTTTTTCTTCTTTCTTGTTGAGTTCGGCTTATCAGAAATTCGAATGCATGATTTTGTGAAATTACGACGAGTGTTCCACAAATAGAAACTTGGTGTGTGTGTGTGTCATACGTATGTGTATATGTGTATGTTCGCAAACAAATATTAGCCAACACGAAATAATCAAAACGAAAGTAACAAATGTTTGTCTAGAACAATTCCAAATTGAATATTTTCAAATAAAATCGAGATTTAGAAACTCAAACTACGTAACAATAAGTACTTCACGTAATTTTGTACTCGGTAAGATCTTTCGAAAGAGAATGAATTTTTTGAAAATTACAAACAAAATATTTTCGAAATCAATGATTGAAAGAAAAGTACATTGCGGTGTGCGCATTAAAGATATTAACCAGGTTTGTCCTGAAAATGAAAGATTGATCTATTTGAAACATAGTTTTGAAATCCAGGCATTTCATTCATCTTGTGTGTCAGGGCTGTATTTCGATAGTTCTACAAAGCTGTTACACCTTCTAAAACATTTCAAATTGATTGGGGATGTGAACAATGTTTCCACAAAATGCCCTAAGGATTACAAAACTTCACTGAACAAAATTATTCCATTAAAAATTCTCATTGTAACCGTCATTCTCAATTAATTCGGATTTACTTGGCTCTTTGATGAAAAGAAAACAAGTCAGTAAGAAATTCGAATCAATTATTAACAAGTAAGCAAAGGCTATGGTCGTGCGGGGCCGACTATGTGATACCCTACAACATTATGTCCAAATCGCTTTTGAAATTATATTATAGAGCAGGGACATTTGGCCAATATTTACGCACTTCGTCGTGCTATAACTTACAGCTAAATATATATGGTCATCCAAAATGCTAGACTTCCTCGCTGTCTTCTCATGCAAAATTCCGTGTCGATTGCTTTCGATTGTGTGATCAGGAAACATTTTCTGTTTTTGGTTCATTTGAACCCCTAAATATTTCGCGATCACCTCCAAATACAAGAAGTCCCTCTGTATCTCCAAATTTAGACTCATATATATGACTTGTTTTAAAAAGCCAAAAGTTCGTCTTTTGTGTATTCGCGGTTTAAACGGAAATTTGATTGTTATGGTCTATTTCACCCACTAAATATTACCCGATGACCATCCAAATTGGAAGGCAGCTGTCAATTGATTAGTCTATCATTGCGATCTGTAGAGCAACAGCAAAATCAGGAAAATGTCTAGTTTTTGGTCTATTTCAACCCTTAAATAGGAGGATCGGGTCATAATTGCGACCTATAGCGTGATTGATGAATTAACATGGACGGACGGACGGAGCTAGATCGACTCAAATCGGCGAGATATGAAGATACATATGTACTTTCCTATGTGGGAAACCAACATTTCGAGGTGTTACATAATTTTTGGCCCAATCAAACTTATAATACCCCCAACACACAGTTTTGTAGGGTATAAAAATGGATCAGTCACCACGTGCACGTTTTAATTGAATTCAAATTTAAAGGATCTGATATTCGAAAGCGAATGGATTTAGTAATCTAAAAGCACTATTGTCGCCTTTTTACGCTTCACCATACTGCGGAGGGTAGATTAACTTTATCATCCCGTTTGTAACTCTCCGAAATACTCATGTTAGACCCAACAAAGTATACATTCTAGATCAGCGAATAAGCGAAGTCCGACTATCTGTTTCAATCATCGTTGGAACGAAGTGCGATAGAAAGCTAAAATTTTGCACACATGTGTACTTTCAGGTATAGAAATCACCGGAAAATAATTGTACCAGTATGTATGTAACAGTATGTTTACATTAGAGTATTTTTGACCTTCCTTTTGAATATATATTTGACGTATATCCCATGACAATTTAATTCCATTGGGTTTACTAAATCCGGTTAACTGTAAAAGTACTATAAAATCTTATTATTATGACTTTCAATAATTTATTCCATTAGAAATTCGTTATTGGCAACGTCTCATCTCATGGCTCTGGGAACAGTGCCAAACTAACAAGGCCACACTGTTCTCAAGTCCCCCAAATGCAGCGGCATTTTAATAAAACATTAATATTCGGATAGTGTTCAATAGTCATTTTACATTTTAGAATTTCCCACTGATAACCGTAATGACCCCCAGCTTAGGGCAGTGGCGTTCTTATCAATTATATATTTACAAATCGAGCGGAGAATTTTGAAACATTGAAATAAATAAAGTTTTCATTTCATTGAATCGTTTCTCATTTTTCACAGATCACATCTTACGGCATGGCGATGAAGTTGACCAGCTTTACGTTGGTCTTTGTGCTGGCAGTTGTCGGCACTCGGGGACAGGGATTGTCGTTGGAGGACTTGATTAACAACGTGTTTACACCCAAACCGGAGTCGACAACCACCACAGTATTCCAACCAACACCGGCGCCTGTTACCAAACCCAATCCAACACAAGCGAACAGGGTGGATACCAGCTCGGGTGGTGGCGGTGCCTACAAATCGTGTGGCCTCGACAAGGAATGTGTCCCACGTCATTTGTGTGTAGATGGCGCTATTAGTACGTCTGGAGAGGGTTTCATTGATATTCGTATTGACGATTCCGTCTGTTCCTACAGTGAGCTTTGCTGTGATCTTCCCAACAAGGTAAGCTATTATTAAATGGCGAGCTACTCCCGGCTTAGGTTGTACTAAAAAAAACTTCTCTTTCAGAGAGACCAACCTGTAATTCCTCCTCTGCCACCAGTAGTTCATGGCGGTTGTGGATGGCGCAACAAAGACGGTGTGGGATACAGAATTACTGGCGACAACGACAATGAGTCTCAATTCGCCGAATTCCCCTGGATGGTGGCAATTCTCCGCACCGAAGACGCCGCCGGCGAAATCATCCATTTGTACGACTGCGGTGGCTCGTTGATTGCCAACAACGTTGTCCTGACCGCGTCCCACTGTGTCATCAACCGCGAAGCCAATCAATTGGTGGTACGTGGCGGTGAATGGGACACCCAGAACACCAACGAGATTCTGCCCCATGTTGACAAACGCGTTCGAGAGATCATCAGACACGAACGATACAACAAAGGCGCACTGTACAACGATGTGGCTCTGCTCATCCTTGAAGAGCCCTTTGAATGGCAGGAGAACATTCGACCCATCTGTTTGCCCGAGCCAAATGCCAACTTTGATCACAGCCGTTGCTATGCCACTGGCTGGGGCAAGGATAAGTTCAATCGCGACGGCCAGTACCAGGTTATTCTGAAGAAAATCGATTTGCCCATTGTACCAAACGACAGGTGCCAAGCCAATTTGAGACAAACTCGTTTGGGCGCGTACTTCAATCTGCACGAAAGTTTCATCTGTGCCGGTGGTGAGAAGGGAAAGGACACATGCAAGGGTGATGGCGGTTCGCCACTGGTCTGTCCTATTCCCGGCACCGCCGACCGTTACTACCAGGCCGGCATTGTGGCTTGGGGTGTTGGCTGTGCAGAGGAGAATATCCCAGGTGTTTATGCCAACGTACCCCACTTGCGTCCATGGATTTCGGAGAAACTTTCTGCCCGCGGCATTCCCATCGGTGATTTCACTCCCTAGGTGATCCAAAACAGTTTCAAATCCATTTGTAATACTCGAAGACACAACAATTTCTAAAATAATAAAGTTTATGGAAACGTTCGTTATTTATTGATTATTTTTTCCATTCGTGCCGAGCCTAATGATCCGATTTTTAGCAACATTAATGTACTTGCTTCTAGACTGTATTCGGTCGGATGTGCCAAAATTCAGGATATTTGGACTGATATTGGCCATTTGGTGCACAATATAGACATGGGAGCTACCTGTAAATTTATGCCGATTCTCACTAATTCCAATGGGGTTCGTCCTTCGGCCAAACAAATATCTCTTGGGAAATTTCCTATCAATCGGATAATAAATGCGACTTGCATTTTGTTCACAAAAATACATGGGCAGACGGACGGACTGAGATGCATTAATCGACTCAGAAAGTGATTCTATGAGAATCCTCAAAAGTAACTATGGGTCTATGCCGCTTCCTTCTTCATGTTACAAACAAATGCACAAAGACATAATACCCTTAACACTATTTGCCACTATGTGGTGTACGGTATAAAGAGTTATTGCGCGGCAAAATTAAACTTATTTTCGGTAATGGCAGCCCTTTTTTATAATGGAACTCATCTATCATTTTCAAATAATTTTGAAATTAATTCCAAATCAATTTACGCAAGAAGAGTGTCATATGTTTGTAAAATTAAATAATAACAAGTTAAAAAGCAGTAAGTTTCGGCCGGGACGAACTTTGAATACCCTCCACCATTTGGAACGAATTAGGACATTTTCAAAAAATAAAATCCGTTAAATTTTTTTTTTTTTTTAATTTTTTAACATACCGAATATAGCCGTTATATTAGGGTCTATACGACGTGGACCTACATAGCCATTGTTTGTCATATGCCATTACCATATTCAAATTCGAAACTTGAAATAAACGGTGAATAATCAAAATATCGTATATAGGGAGGTACCGTTATATCGGAGCTGTGCGAAGACCTGGACCAGCATAAACAATTTTCTGTCACAGACTGTAGCATCCATTACGAAGTTCAAATACGACATCTCAAATAATTTCGGTGGGTATTGCACCTAAAATTGTGTGAATACCGAATATAAGGAGGTACTGATATATGGGGCCTATACGAAGACATGGACCTGCATAGACAATTTTCTGTCACAGACTGTAGGTTCCATTACGAACTCAAAGTACATAGTTTGAAACTATTCCGGTGAATAAATACGTTAAAATCATCAAAATACCGAATATTGGGTGGTACCGTTATATAGGGGCTATACGAAGACGTGGACCTGCACAGACAATATTCTGTCATATGCTGTAGTTCCCATTACGAACTTCAAATTCCAAATTTGAAACAATTCCGGTTAATAATGTCGCTAAAATCATCAAAATACCGAATTGAGGGAGGTACCTTTACATGTGGGCAATACGAAGACGTGGACCTGCACATACAATTTTCTGTCTTAGGCTGTAGTATCCATTTCGAACTACAAATACCAAATTTGAAAAACCGAATATCGGGAGGTACGGGAGGACGTGGACCTGCACAGACAATTTTCTGTCCCTAAGACAGGCCCCATATATCAGTACCTCCCGATATCCGGTATTTTCACGATTTTAGGTACAATACCCACCGAAATTGTTTGAGATGTGGTATTTGAAGTTCTTAATGGATGCTACAGCTTGTAACAGAAAATTGTCTATGCTGGTCCAGGTCTTCGCACAGCTCCAATTTAACGGCACCTCCTTATATACGATATTTTGATGATTTTAGCTACATTATTCGCCATTTATTTCAAGTTTCGAATTTGAATATGGTAATGGCTTATGACAAACAATGCCTATGTATGTCCACGTCGTATAGACCCCAATATAATGGCTATATTTGGAATTTTTAAAATTTTAACAGAATTTTTTATGGATTTTATTTTTTGAAAATTTCCAAATTCGTTGCAAATGGTGGAGGGTATAAAAAGTTCGGCCCGGCCGAACTTACTGCTTTTTAACTTGTTATAGACTAATGAATATATCGACAACGGAAAATTTGGTTTGTCTTGTTATCGAGGTGGCTCTCAGCACGCTTTTGCATAGTCAACATGCTGATTAACGCAGTCGACCCACTCGACTTCGAAACACACATTTCATCGTGTTTTAAGAATTCCGCTGGATTAATGGCGAACATTTCGATGTCATCATGTAATGTTCACCTACATCTTATTATGGAATAGTTTTTAACTGACAAATATCCTATTGTTTATGACATTTTTTAACATTTTAGAACTGACTGACTTTAATATTTTCACTCATACCCCTGAAGCGATATAGACGACATCTGGTGATCCGATTTTTTCGAAGATGAGCGGTATGAGCATTTCTTCGTCTATATTTTCATTAGTCTATGATTTTGTCAACAATTTTAAGTTTGATCTTTGTTACACTCGATTAATTTGTTTCTAATTATTTTCATTGCATTCTTAAAATTAATGCTGATGATTTCATAACAATTCCACTGTCGCTAAAGGACAATACTCACCCACGAAACTCTCTCCCCGGATATATTTTAATATTATGCCAATGCATCAATTATCAGTGTACAATATTTGGATAAAAACGTCCATGGAAGGAGAAATTGAGGTTGCACACATTCTATTCGAAAAAGTCGACACCCGTATAGAGTATACCATTTCCAGTTGTTACCATATGTTTGGAAAACCAGCAAACGGTGTGTAATGATGATAAAGGACACCCTATGTATTTGTAACGGAATAAACATGAAGAATTTAAAAAATAAATCCAAAGATAATCGTTTTAAATGCATTATTTTATGTATCCACTCCATTCAATAATGGAGGGTATGTTAAATATAATTATTTTAAACTTATGCTGTGTTAATTTTTGATCAGCATATTGTTGTAATTGGATTTGGCATCTGTTCTAATCAGGTTCGACTTTAAACTATCTGAGATAGAAAACAAAGATGATTCCTAGGCAGTCGTTGATTTTCATGAGGGTTAATTTGGTGTAAATGGGCTATATTTTTACATCCAGCCGCATTTTTCAGTTGTGCATTTGATGTTCGTACCGGGTATCTGCCATGTAGCTGGCCATGTTGTGGATATTCAATATGTTGCTGATATAAGCCTTATTTTTCAAATGTTCTAGATGGAGCTCGTAGTGTGTACTGCCTCTTTTGAGAAATTGTCTAGTTACGTTTTGTTATCGACCTCATATAACCACAATGCAAATTTTAGATACACGTTTTGAACATTCAAAAAATATTCACACTACATAAGGTCGGCTAGGAATGGTTGTCAACATTTGGCAATAGACAATACGTTGTCTGGTGGTGAGCGTGCCACGGAGGTGCAGAGGGAGAGCCGCTCTCGTGTGAGGCGGGCTGCTCCAAAAACTGTTGGTGGGGTGTCTGTCGGTGAAATGAAGAGCGTAACGGATTCTCTTCTTGATTTGTTGTGCGACAGTCAATGTAATGCTGATACCACGCTGATGAGGGCCATCGTGGAGAATGAGAGGCTGAAGGGGAAACTGGAGGCGTATGAGGCTGTTGCTGCCAAAGGTGGTTTGCGCCAGCTGCTGTGCAGATTGCGGCTCCCTCGGCGGTTCATGAGGCTCCTGTCAAGCCGGTTGAGACATGGTCGGTTGTTGTGAAGGGGAAGAAGGGTACCTCTAGCAAAGAGGTAGTGAAGAATGTGGTTGAGAAGGTGGGCCCTACGCTGAAGGTGAGGGTACATGTGGTGAAGGAGACGAGGGATGGTGGTGCCGTCATTCGCACGCCGTCTGTTGCCGAGCGTGAAAAAATTGCGGCGAACACTAAGTTTGCAGATGTTGGATTGGAAGTCTCTGTGAATGATAAGCATGGGCCGAGAGAGTTCATGCATGTGGTGCAGAGAGTTCATGCTGAAATCTCCACCGAAGAATTCATGCAGGAGCTTTATGACATGAATTTTGTTGATGTTCTCTCCCCTGAAGCTTTCAAGAAGAGCGTTCGCTTGGCGAGTGGACCATGGAAGTCAGGTCGAGGGTAAATGTGGTGCTTGAGTGTACGGAGCGAGTGGCTGAGAAGATATGTGCGGAAGGTACATATGTGAAATGGTTCAGGTTCATAGTGCGGAGGCAGGATCCTGTTCCCTCGTGTTATCGATGCCTGGGCTTCGATCATCGGATAAGAGAATGCCGAATGCGAGCGGATGTGTGTAGGAGGTGTGGTGGCTCTGGACATATGAGCGTAGATTGCTCGAATCCAATTCGTTGCAGGAATTGTGAGCTGAAGGGACTCCGAGTAGGGCATCTTATGCTGTCCTCTGCGTGTCCGGTGTACGCTGCCTTGACGGCTAGGGCGAATGCTAGGCATTGATGATGAGGATACATCAATATAACTGCCAGGGGTCTGCGAGTGTGATGCACGAATTTGGGCAGTCGCTTCTCCGTATGGGTGCAACCTTCGCGTTGATTCAGGAGCTATATATTAGAGATGGGTGTGTGCGTGGACTTCCTGGGGGATGCGGGTCTTTACTGACGTGGGAGGAGACTCTGTTATAGTTGTTGTTGACAGTGATATTGACTGTACAGTTGTCTCAAGTAGCCAATGGGGGTTATGTCCGTCCGTTGAGTGGACGGGGGGAAAGATGTTGTTGGCTAGCATCTATTGTAGATTTAGCTCTCCGTTGGAGCCCTATTTAGGGTATATGGATACGGTACTACTCTTTGCGAGTAGTTGTCCGCTAAACCTAGGTTTAGACGCGAATGCTCCTCGTTGTGGTTTTCTAAGATGTCCAGGCATACTTCTGACCTTAGAATCGCGTACGAGGAGAGATGCTAGGCGAATGGGTGTTAGCGAGAGGTGTGGGGATTCTGAATGAGCACTCGGATCTGTATACCTTTGATGGACCCTGGGGAGTTAGTGACATTGAAGTGACGGCTGCAAATGAGGCAGCAACGACTGTTTACCAATTGTGCTGGCGTGTTGTTGATGACTGGGGTGTTAGTGACCATAATCTCATTGAGCTTGTGGTCACGCCGCGGGGACGAACGCAGGGAACAGAGCGTTTCAGGGCTTGCAATT